GGTGGACTTGGTAATGTTAGGTTAATGGTTGGACTGGATGAGCTTAAAGGTCTTTTCCAACCTAAACAATTCTATTCTATGATTCTAAGTATCTTAGGATGGACCACTGTTTGATGACAAGTTATTTCCAAGTACTAACCTTTTTGGTTCAAGTACTAACCTTTTTGGTTCAAGTTTAGCAGCAACTAGTCTTGCTCCCAGAGCTTCATTTTCCACAACATGGTAATATATTTTTATTTCAACATGGTTGAAGATATAAAAAGTATCTTTTTCGTGAAATTCTGACTGCAATGATAAAAGATGGTGTGAAACAATCAAAAAGACAAAGACATCTAAAGGCCTTAGGCAGAAGCTTACATAACAGAATTTTAGACTGTGTACAGTTTTTCTGTCAATAAGTTCTCCTATGAGATGAATGCGGGATTCTGGGAAGACAAAGACAGTAAAGTCTTTACATTAAAGCCTTGCATTAAAAAGACAAACTAGAAAATACGATGCTAAGAACTGTCTACTACAGTTGAAAAGTAGAAAAGCTTATTTACATATAAAATTTATTTATAAATATAAGTATTTATTAAAATATCTCAGGAACTGAAGATGTCCCATTTTATTTAATTGAAGTAGCGAACTGTATAGATAACTGTGACAACTTTCATATCAGAAGCGTTTCATAAACATCACCTATTTTAAAACAATGTATATATTTTTCATTGATTAAACAGAACCTCCCAAGACAGACAATGCAAATAATTGCTCTCTGTGACAGAATCATCTTGACATTTGAAACCAAATATGCACAGGGATGAACTGCAAGCAGCAGGCAAGAATGCTGAATATAAATCTCAGGTGAAGGGAAACATCAGCTTGGAATTTAGTCAGTTAAAGAGGTCGTTAAATCACAAGCATTAGGTCTACTGAAGTTTAATTAGTACTTCTTCAGGGTTCTATCCCCACCCCTTTCTACAAAGCACCCTAATTATAAAAATAGTTATATAAACAAAGTGTTCTTCTACAGTCCTTCAGTTACTCCTTCAAAGGTTATTTTCCTTTTATTAAAAACAAGTATTTAAACAAGATTAAAAGAATATTGCCAGATTACATATTTGATCATAAATGTGTTTCCAGCATCCATTCATATGGAGCCTCTGAAATCAATTCATTATGGAGGAAAGGAAACAAAATTAGAAACTGCAGAAACTGTCATCTTTGGTAAGTTCTATTAAGTAAAACCAACCATTCTGGTAAAACCAAAAACCTATTCCAGGTTCTCAGTGACCTCTCCATGGAAGAGGTCTGCGGTAATCTAAAAACATCCTGGATTTTCTATTGCATTCTTATCTCCATAATACTTACAGTGCATTTATCTGGACCTCCACCAGTTAATCCAATAGGTCTGTCTCTCACCAGAGAAGCTTTGTTCACTCAGAAATCTTATATTCTGCCTTCTTTCACTAGCCCACACAGTTTTAGGGAAAGCAATCCTTCAAGAAGTGTTAATTTCCACACAGAGGTACAAACATGTCTATGCAAACTTGCTTCCATGAAAATACTTCTATCCCACAAAAACGTGGAGTCCAAGCCTTTGAAAGTTTAGACTTCTTAGGCAATGAAGGATGACATGGTTTTCTTCTGCTTCACCTTTTGCAGGTACTAAATGTTATGCATGTTCATCTCATCCCTCTATTTTTTAGAGCCCTTCTGTATTACGCAACAGAAGAGACAAAGTTCTTAGGCTTAGATGAGGCTTACAAATTGTGGTACTGGCAGAGATATCAAAACACATACCTAGTTTTAGGCAATGAGGGTTCTTAAGATAGTGAGGACCCATCATAGAAACAGGACATAGGAGAAATGCTAGTCTTTAGTAAAAAGGGGATAGTAAAAAAAAATAATTACATAAACATACATTAATAACACAGGCATCTTTTGGACGGCCATCTTCTGTAATATAGCAGCCAATAGGAAAACCAGGATTGCAGAACCTCTGGCTATCTTCAACATCATAACACCAGGTCACAGGCATGTTGTCTACAATCCTGTAAATGGCACAGTGACATTCCACAATCTTTTGAAATACACAGTGTAATGGAAACAAAACCAGATTATTATTAATCTAACTTTGCTACATTCATTATTGGAAGATTAACTACAAGAATAATACTTCTTTCAGATCTTAACCCATGGAATTGCACCAACTGCCAATCCAATTTCCAAATGAGATATAAGCATCTAGCTCTTCAACTGAAACTTCCTTTTTTAGAAAAACAGTATTTAAAAAAATCAGTCTATTTCTTCAGAAGGTGGCTTGGAAATAGGAGGCTTACTCTGTAACTACCAAAACATTCTATTCACTGGACTAGTTTCTGAACTCCCGTTACAAATATAGTCCAATACATAAGACTCTCCCACTCCAAAGTGATAACAACTTAACATTTCATTATTTTGTCACAAAATGAAAAATTTTGCCTACACACACATACATATTAATTCTCCAGCTTCCTCATTGCTCTTCCATTAGAAAATACATTTTTCATGGCACTCTTTAAACTTTTGTTTTGCACTAAAGCTAACATGCAAGTTTGCTGGGGTGGTTTTTTTGCTACTTAAGTGAATTCCTAACCATCAACCTCAGTTGCAGTTCCCTGAGAGTACGGAATATTTTAACTAGATCGTTTACATGAGCAAAAAATTGTAAGCCACATTTGGGAAAGTAATCACTTTCAAACCTCCCTCCATTATTTACCTGCTGCCTTTACATTATTGCCTCACAAGATTTATATTCATATTACCTAAAAGTCCTGAGCCCAGTAGGTTTATAGCTCAGTTTCAATGAAAAATTTGTAGCAGAATCCCAAACCCCCATGAGTTGTGGAAAATAAGACAGTAAGATACAAACAGTATCCAACATGCTACAAACAGTACAAATGTCAAAAACAAAAATATACTTTCAAACATAAAGAAAGTTACCAAACATGGTCACCTGTCCCTTTGTAAAAGGAACTACTAAAAACCAACAAACCTGTTTCTTTATGTTATGAAGTGTTTTAACTAGCCAGAAGATAAATCCCAAAAGAAAGTCATTCAAAGAAGACTTAAAATTCAGTAGCTGCCCTTTGGGAAACATTAATTGCTCCAAGGTATGTTTTTAAAGGTCTATTAATAAACTTCACACATGAAGACAACTGCCACTTTTTGTGCATCACTAGACCAAAAGAAGGACATCCCACTGAAACTTAACACATTTTTGTGAAACTTATCAAGCTACTAAATAGCCTTTACAACGAAATGTCTCATCATTACAACCACTAGGCTATTAACGTTAACAAATACCTCATACCTGATAATACCTCATCAGGTACTTTTCAATACCTAATAAAACACAGGAATTACAACTTCAGACAACAACAAAGCATTATTTAGTTTGTTGTGTATTGTAACAATCTCTGAGGTAGCACTATTTTTTAAAGCACATCAATACATGGGGGTAAAAAGAGTGGTACATGGCACCTTTTTTCACAAAATGTAAGGAGATCTGCATTATCCCTACTGTTAGCTCCTGGACAGAAATAACTAGCAATGTTCACAGCTCATACTGACACAGTGGAAGAGTTGAAGACAGGCCCTCCAAAAACACAGTTTCCAGGTTCTCGGGAGATTCCAAAGACTATCACAGAGTTGCGAACAGCAGTAGCACCAACCAAATCCTACTCATTTCACCATGCTACTATGAGGCACAATTAAGCTGCTGATTAGGAGCTATTCTGGATGCAGATTTATTACACTTGGACCATATTTGGAATTTTAGCTCCATAACATACGCTAAAGATAGCTCTTGCTTTTGTTAGTATTTTCATTCCATAATCAAAACCAGGTAAAGCACTAACCTACTGCTAAAGGGTTCAGTTGGGATAAAGGCTTTCCCTTGCATCTTCTACAGCAAAGACATACTGAGCTGCCTTCAAGCAGCAATGCTGGAACAAATTGATAGTTTAAGCAGCAAGTAATTTTTCACAGTTAATCTTCAAATTTAAAATGACTTGAAGAGATTATACATGTGGGGCAAATGTGCTATACAACACTGTTCTTATATGTCTCTCAAGAACATCTGGTGATGAACACTGTCAGCCAAGATATCAGTATAGCTGTTGAGTCCAATTCAGTATGTCAATCCCTAATCTTATTAAGTGGCTTTTAAAACCTTAGAAGTACTTTGCACCATCTGTGTTCCCCAGGAATTTTATGATAAATTGAAGCTGGATGATAAACCTCTATTAAATCCCCACTTATGCTACCTTGCTGATCCCTGTACAACATACTCCTAAACCATGCATCATTCATCACAGAGCCCAGCCACTTCCACTTTGTGAAGCTGTGGCTGAGGGGGACTGTCATTACCATAACAGACATAAACAGGGATTCTTCATGCCACTGGTTCTAAGGTTTTAGGGCAGTGTCCTGGTTTTGGCTGGGATAGAGTTCATTTTCTCCCTAGTAGCTGGTGTAGTGCTGTGTTTTGGATTTAGTTTGAGAATAATGTTGGTAACACGCTGATGGTTTAGCTGTTTCTAAGTACTGCTTACACTAGGTCAAGGACTTTTCAGCTTCCCATGCTCTGCCAGGTGCACAAGAAACTGGGAGGGGGCACAGGCAAGATAGTCGATCCAAACTGACCAAAGGGCTATTCCATCCATACCATATGACGTCATGCTCAGTATATAAACTGAGGGGAGTTGGCCAGGAAGCTGCGATCGCTGCTCAGGAAGTGGCTGGGTATCAGTCAGCGGGTGGTGAGCAATTGCATTGTGCATCACTTATTTTGTATATTATTATTATTCTTCTCCCTTCCTTTTCTGTCCTATTAAACTGTCTTTATCTCAACCCACGAATTTTACCTTTTTTTTTCTTCCCCCCCCTCCCAATTCTCTCTCCCATCCCACTGGGGAGGGGGAGACTAAGTGAAGGGCTGTGTGGTGTTTAGCTGCCTGCCAGGTTAAACCACAACAGTCCTTTTTGGCACCCAACATGGGGCACAAAGGGTTCAGGATAACGACATATCTGACCAGAGTGTGTTAAAACAACTTTGTGATAAGCATTCATTATATTAATTTAATAGTCACCGGTCACAATGTTGATTTATTTGCTCTCAGGGTAGTTGTGCTTGTTCTCAGAGTTGTAACACCTTACTTGCTGTATGCACTCCCTGTGCTGCTGTTTATCACTTCTGGGAGCTGGATGAAAGTTACCGCTTTGCTGTACTATGTAACACTGGTTTATGGTATGATGAAAGTTATCAGTCATTTATTATGGTATGATGAAAGTTATCAGAGATTGTACTCAGCACTGCCGTCATTCCTGTACTTCAGGAGCCATCTCTCAGAAACTATTAATAATTACACTTTTTACCTCTTCTCCTCGGAGAGCCAATCTATGGGGGACACAGAAGGGGAGGCTTTCCCCAGCTCCTTCACCATCCCTTTCTCCTTCAGGCTAGTTACAACAGCTCTTGAGAATTTTTAATATCCTTGGGACATTCAAACCAGCATCTTCCTGCTGCTATGTCTCCTGAATGCAGTTCAGGTCTTGTTTAGGGTTAAACAACTATTTAAGAATATGATCCATAGATCAACCCCTGCGACAGGCGCTGCGGCCACTCCAACTCCCAAAATACACAATGCAGCTACTCAAACCCCGTTGACAGGTGCTGCAGTGACTCTAACCCGCAGTGACAAACACTGCGGCTGAACTAGAGAATCAATCCATGCCAGTATCAGTCGCCCCTATACACAAGAAGAAATACACAAGAAGATCAGCTCATTTAGCAAGGGATGAAGATGAACCGGGGCCATCACGAGAAGAGGAATAAGAGGCAGAACCCACAAATGAGATGATAACCACCTGATCTCTGTCCCCGAGTGAGCTGTGAGATATGCAAAAAGATTTCAGTCATCATCCAGGTGAGCACATCATCACCCAGCTGCTCTGATGCTGGGATAACAGGGCCAGTATCCTGGAATTAGAGGACAGGGAAGCCAAGCAGCTGGGATCCCTTTCTGGGGAAGGGGGCATTGACAAAGCAATTGGAAAAGGGGCACAAGCCCTCAGCCTCTGGAGACAACTCCTGTCAGGTGTGAAGGGAAGGTATCCCTTCAAGGAAGATGTTATATATCGCCCAGGCAAGTGGACCACCATGGAGAGATGTATCCAGTACCTGAGGGAATTAGCTACGCTAGAGATGATTTAACGACGTGAACAACGAGCAGTTATCCGAAGATCCAGATGAAGTCAGATGCGCATGACCCATGTGGTGGAAGTTTGTATGCATGTGACGATGGTGCGCTCCAAACTCATTGGCAGTAATGACATAGAAAGACAGAGAGGAACCAGCAGTGGATGAATTGGCCGGCCAACTCTCGCAATATGCAGAAAGTCTCTCTTCTTCCCTATGGGCCTGTGTCTCGGCTGTGGAAAGACTGTCTGAAAAACTGTCCCGAGAATTCCAGCAACATAAAGAGGGTATGTCCTACTCCCCACCTGTATGGGCCAGTATCTCAGCCATTAGGAGTAAGCATCCCTCTACCCAAGAGAGAGGACACAGTGGATACACACCATGGGTCACCCTGTGGTTTTACCTGCGTGACCATGGAGAAGACATGAGGAAGTAGGATGGGAAATCTACCTCGGCCCTAGAGGCATGGCTACGTGAGTTGCAAAGAAAAACAAAAAGGAGGGTTCTTCCAGGAAAACTGCTGGTCGAGTCTCCAGTGGGCAATTCTGCAGAGTAGAAGGGCTGATCTTACCCCGATCTCAATAAAGTGACTCTGATTCGTATTCACAAGAAGTGAACAACAAATACTACGATCAGGACTAGAGGGGCCCTGCCTCCAGCCAGGTGGAGGAAAGGGACAACCAGGTTTACTGGACTGTGTGGATTTGATGGCCTGGCACATCAGACACACAGGAGTGTAAGGCTCTAGTGGACACCAGTGCACAGTGTACCCTAATGCCATCAAGCTATAGAGGGGCAGAACCCATCTGTATTTCTGGAGTGACAGGGGGATCCCCACAGCTAACTGTACTGGCGGCCGAAGTGAGCCTAAATGGGAATGAGTGGCAGAAGCACCCCATTGTGACTGGCCCAGAGGCTCCACGCATCCTTGGCACAGACTACCTCAGAAAAAGGTATTTCAAGGACCCAAAAGGGTAAAGTGGGCTTTTGGTATAGCTGCCTTTGAGCTGCCTTATTCATGAATATGAAACATGTGCTGCGATCGAACAGGCCAAGTGGTTAAAGCTTCTCTGATACGGAGAACAATGGCTGAAATATAAATATGGGGAGGCCTGGCAGATTGATTCTATCACTCTCCCACAAACCCACCAAGGCAAGCGCTATGTGCTCACCATGGTGGAAGCAACCACTGGATGGCTAGAAACATATCCTGTGCCCCATGCCACTGCCTGGAACACTATCCTGGGCCTTGAAAAGCAAGTGTTATGGTGACATGGCACCCCAGAAAGAATCGAGTCAGACAATGGAACTCATTTCCGAAACAACCTCACAGACACTTGGGCCAAAGAGCATGGCATTGAGCAGGTATATCACATCCCTTACCATGCACCAGCCTCCAGGAAAATCAAATGATAGGATGGACTGTTAAAGACTACCCTGAAAGCAATGGGTGGTGGGACATTCAAACATTAGCACACACATTTAGCAAAAGCCACCTGGTTAGTCAACACTAGGGGATTTGCCAATCGAGCTGGCCCTGCCCAATTAAAACTTTTATATACCGTAGAAGGAGATAAAGTCCCTGTAGTGCCTGTAAGTAATATGCTGAGGAAGACAGTCTGGGTTATTCCTGCCTCGGGCAAAGGCAAACCCATTCGTGGGATTGCTTTTGCTCAAGGACCTGGGTACACTTGGTGGGTAATGCAGAAGGATGGGGAAGTCTGATGTGTACCTCAAGGGGATTTGATTTTGGGTGAAAATAGCCAATGAATGGAATTGTATGATGTTAATTGCTATATAATACTGCATGGCTTCACTTTTATGATTGCTATATGCCCTATCAGCAGTATTACAGCAAGAATCATCCAGATTAATGAAGAATGAAATTTAATAAAACCAAGCAAAGTGCAGCAGTGATGGAACCAGAACTGGTTTCAACATGCAACAATCCAATATCACACACCATTTCTCCTGCCCCGAAAGACTTATGACAGATGGAGCCCAAAGTCATGGACTAAATGAACTCAATGGACATTTTAGAGGGATAGCCCACAGACTAAGGGAATGATATCTGTGTATATATCAAAAGACAGGAAAAGTGGTGGTGATTAAATCGGAATTTATTGGAAAGGGTAGAGACCTGGGCAAGATGCAGATAGCACAGGATAAGGGGTGGATACTGTCCTGGTTTCAGCTCGGATAGAGTTAATTTTCTCCCTAGTAGCTGGTGTAGTGCTGTGTTTTGGATTTAGTTTGAGAATAATGTTGGTAACATGCTGATGGTTTAGCTGTTGCTAAGTACTGCTTACACTAGTCAAGGACTTTTCAGCTTCCCATGCTCTGCCAGGTGCACAAGAAACTGGGAGGGGGCACAGCCAGGATAGTTGATCCAAACTGACCAAAGGGCTATTCCATACCACATGACGTCATGCTCAGTATATAAACCGGAGGGAGTTGGCCAGGGGGCAGCAATTGCTGCTCAGGAACTGTCCGGGTATCAGTCAGCGGGTGGTGAGCAATTGCATTGTGCATCACTTGCTTTATATATTATTAATATTTTCCCTTCCTTTTCTGTCCTATTAAGCTGTCTTTATCTCAACCCACGAATTTTACTTTTTTTTTTTTTCCAATTCTCTCCCCCATCCCACTGGGGAGGGGGATAGTAAGCGAATAGCTGTGTGGTGTTTAGCTGCCTGCCAGGTTAAACCACAACAGGCAGTGGGCCTAGCAAAAAACAAATAGTGAAAGTGCTGTTAAAAGACCTAAGAATACAGGAATATGTATAGAGTGACCTAAATTTAAAGGGAAGTTTTCACACTGAAAATAGAACTACATCTTACTAAAATCTGAACAGTCCTATCAATTAGCTGTACAGGCAAAAAGAAAAAAACTTAAACATGCTAAGTGTATTTATAAAACAATTTCATCTAAGGGGAAAAAACCAGTCTAAAGTACTTTCCTGTGTGATTAGTTTTACACAGTTCTGTTTAAGTTTCTGTATCAGTGGTCAGCTTAAGTTTTGGGCCTTCCTAAAAAAGCTGAATCTCTTTCAAAAAGAGTGACAGGGCCATAGCCTTGGGAAACTATTTTTCATTTATACACCAAAACATACAGGAACTTTTAAAGCTGAAGCTTTATGCCACACCAACATGCATCACTGAAATTCAAAGTGGTATAAATATTATAAATATATGCAGTATTTAATAGGAATATAATCAAATCCAGCACGTTTGCAGCTCCACTTATTTCAGCATTAGGCATATACACTCCAAATCCTAGTAAAAGTAGCTGTACCTTTCAGGGTTTCTTTATCACTTCCTGGTTCACTTACATAAACATATGGTTATTGCCTATGAACCCTTCTGACCTAATCTACCAACTTCTAATGACACTAATTTTCAAGATGCTCCCACAAAGACTTACATCAGCAAGCCACAGTTTATCCCTAAAAAAGGATATCCTATACTGATTCCCAAGAACAGTAGAAAAAGCACTCACTGCCTTTCCAGCATGGGTGGCTGTTTCAAAACTGAAGAACGGAATGTGACATTACAGAAAAACATTTAATGACAATGGCAACATTCAACATTTCACCCGTATTTTTACTAATGTATCATGAAAGTTTTTATCTAATTATATGAAGACTGAAACCTTTGTTTCTGTGAAGCAGGGAGCACATATCTGGAATCAGACAACATCAGTTAATTATGCTCATGTATTACTTGCGAAGACATGCCACAGGAACTCTGACAACTTCATGCCAAAGTTGTTCCACCCTTGCACCCAAAAGCTGCTGTTAGCATGGCATATCAACATACAGAGCACTACACTATACAATACAGGTAGGTATTGCTAGGTATTTCCAAGGTCAAGACAGAACCTGCTGATAAACATTTCCCAGCTTTTGGATGTGGGTGCAGTGCATGGCTAGATCCTAACTGAAAATCAGCATGAGATTCAGCATATGCATTCAGCCTTGCCCCACCCTTAATGCCCATTGGAAGAGGACCTCAATGTCCAAGCAGAAACAGAACCCCAGCGTGCTCCAAGATGACTCAGAGAATAGGAAAGGAGCACGTGTTTCTGCGTTCCTCTAAATTATTTCATTACTTAATTTTCATTGGCCACCTTTCACTTTCATATCCTGTAAGAGAAACAAGCTTTGTATAAAACTCTCTCGGAACCATTGATCCTATCTCCTGGACACAACATGTGAAGGGGAGTGCAAAGGCTCTTGAGGAAAACACAGGCAATACAGCAACAGAATGAAGGTCCCTTAAGACTTTTCTCAAGCTAGGGCAGGATTAACTTCTACATTTACAGGTGCAAAGAAATAGCAGTATCTTACAGTAAACACAGAGGCAGCACAAAAACTACACAAAGCTTTATGTTTGGAAGCAGGCTTGCTTCCATTATACCTGGTGCTTATCCTTCAAGTGAAGGAAATTTTTTTATGAAGACAACAAGCAATATAACATCTTTTGCAAGAACAGAAGGGTAATAGATTTGGTGCAAACACCTAGTGTTCAATCTGTATTAGCCTGCAAATACAAAATGATAAACGAAATTATGACCAACATACTAGACTAACCAATCTATGAATTTTGATATCAACTTACCAATGATGTTGATAATTCAGGAGCATACTTTTTTTCAAAAAGTCTAATTTCTGTTTATCTTCAGGCTTTGTGGTATCATATGTTTTTGTACAAACAGTTTTACACGTCTCCGGATTCTTGAATGTGAACTAAGAAAAATGAAAAGACGTATAAGCAAAAAGGTTGTAACAAACTTTGCGTCATTTCAGTATTTAACAAGTTTCCTCTATGCATTTATAATTGCTTATACTATTATAATAAAAACACCTAACAAATTACCAACATTCACCGTCCAGTGGAGGTTTTTATATTGGTGCATGCTATAAAACCCTCCTGTGCTCATTGTAGGAGTCCTACACTAAGAGCTCCTTGTTACTGATTAAAACCTCTTTTCTGCAATGATTTACCAGACAAGTCATTTGACCTCACAGCAGCAATGCTGTCCCAGGCAGATTCAGTTGATAACTTTCTCTCCTACTACATGTAGTTTAGTCAGCAGAAAAGACAAGCTGGCTAACACTATTTCCAATTCTTCCATTTTACAACTGCCATATTTTCAGATCTGGTTCCAAGAAATAGGAGTACTCAATTCCCTCTAACAAGGGGACAGCTGAGGAGCAAGAATCAGGTTTCGGCAGGTTCCAAAGAGAGAAGACAACCTCCACAGCATTTCAAGCTACAGCTTCATGATGCAAAGTGCATAGCTACAATTAGGTTAAATTGACAGATTTCTGTTATGTGGAATTTCAGATTTTGAAGCTCTTTGAGATAAAGGCCTTGTGAAGAGGCTCTTCAAGATTCTGACCCCCTTTGGTTACATTTGAATATACGTATTACCGAACACCCCTTGTCAGAGAACAAACCCTGTAAGGAGACGGTTCTATCCTCTCTCCAAACAATACTTGGCCAAGGTTTTCAGAGGGACGCTTCTTTCCTTCCGCTTGACAAAAATCAAACCTGAATTAGAGAAAAAAATACAAAAGTTAATAAAATATTCTCAGCTGCAAATATTAGACCTCAAACAGTGCTCCCAAATCAACACCATCACAAGCAAAGGAACTACACAGCTTTCCTTCTAGACAACAGTTTATTCCTTGAACCTGCAAAGCAAAGTGTGAAAATCACAGTCCCATTTTGAAAAAAACAAAATAAAACCAACAATCAAATCTCTTTATCAGCTATTTCAGAGCTTAGTTTATATTAAACATGGTAGCATAAAAGTTTCCTGTCTGAACAGGGATTTTAGCCAAGAATTAAACCTTCACACACTTCACATATTGTTTCATGACAGCTCTGAGAGAAAACCATGCAGGCCAGTTCTTGGGCGAGGGGGGATAATAAAAGAAAAAAAACCAAAAAACCAAAAAGACCCCACCACCAAAAAGCCCACCATACACACACACAGAGCTCCTTTACAATAAGCACTATTAAACAAACAGGTTATTGCAGTTTTATTCACCAATACACTTAACAGTACATCCTCCAAGTTTTTCCAGCCTAATTTCAACTATATCACATTTGTGTTCATTAAAGTGTAGACGTAACTAGTGCTTAACCTCTTCAATATTAACAGTCAAAATATTCTTTGAAGCAACAACTTTACATAGTTGTGCCAGGCACTGATACATTTTGTGCACTCCTATGATGTGTACCAAGACAACACTTAACACCTCATTAAGATAATTGATGGGAATTTCACACCTCATTACCACTTTAACTCATCTGGCTATAGGCTACTAAAGACAGCAGTAATACTTTGATCTCTAAAATGACAACTAATGCAGAAGAGTGAATATTACTTAAACACACACATTTTAACTTCAAGTTACTCTAAAGCAGTGATTCGACCTACATGAGGGCCTATGAATCCATGCGCTACTTCTAAAGTACGAGCAAAAACAACTGAGAAGGAAGCAATGTATGCATCCATCTGCTCGTTGAAAATTCTGTATTTGCAAACTTGCGTTAGCAAAATAAACAGATATTTCTCACTGGCAAACTGCTGTAGCAAGGTGTAGATAATACTTAAGATTAATTAAATTCATCTTTTTGGAAGAACTGACAACTAAAATGACACAAACAGTATAATATACTTACGCAGTATATTCGTAGGGAAGGACAGACTCTACAGAGTCAAGCCTGTTCACAAATAGCTCGATTCCAGACTGAAAGAGTGGAGATAATCAGCAGTTATATTAAAGCACTTCTTCGATTCTGACAGATATATATATATATATAGATTTGTGTGAATAAGGTAAAGGAAAGCTGAAAATGTAAGATTTGTGTAATTATACATCTTGAAATGTAGAATCTTGTGTAATGAACTGTATCTGCTGAGAGCATAAGTAAAAACGCTATCTAATCATCACAAAAACAGCAACCACATGACAAAACCACTTTAAAGCTAACATAACCATTCAAACTACAAGACAGCAAGAAATCATGCACAAGAATAATACAATTACCAGAGTTGCCAGTGTTTTACTTTAAGGTACCAAGTTAGAGCCCTATTAGTCATAACCACAGCTTTTGTGTAATAAAAGTCTTAACATGAATGAAAGTACAGATGAGATCAGTACTTCTCCCTATAATTACGCGGCTCCACAATTTTATCTGTGTCGCAACTGAAAACTGAACTATGAGGATTTAAACAATGTATTCAGACATTCAGTGGTTTAAGTTTGAACAGAAGCCCTTTCCAAAGAGAAGGCAAGGATATCCACATTTACTTTCTTATAAAAGTTTATCAATAACTCTCGCAACTCTCAAGTAAGAACCTGAAATTCAGTCTGCTGTGGTTTCAGACTAGTTTGGTCTATACGCATTAATTACAGATGGGGTAGCCTGCTGCTATGGAAAGGCAGAGGTCTCTCACTCTTCCCTCTCAGTCTCAAAATCCCTTCCCTTATTCTAGTCCCGCGGTCCCAATATGTTTCAACTGTTCACCTTACCCTGTTTTTGGCAGTTATCTGCTTGCACAGTAAACCAATTCAACTGGCTAAACCAGCAAAAGACTTACCCCCCAAAAATTTTAAAGACAAGTTTTCAGCAGCATAGCAAGCTGAACTGTCATACTGTGCAATCAGACAAGAGCTGGAGAGAGCAAAAGGAAGGTGAGTGCTTTCAGGAATAAGACCTCTCCCTTTCAACAGCAAGGCATCTATTTTCTCACCAGGAATCAACAAGAGAGCTTTTCCTCCCTATGAAAATTCACTCAAGTTTAGCCAAACCAAGAAATTCTGGAGGGAAAAAAATTAAAAGATGGAATTGTTCACATGTGTCTGGAGCTCAGATACTTCAGTCAGGTGGTATGCTTTTACAGAGATACTGTAGTTGTCCACGTGTGAGTCAGGATGCAGTTCCACGAGCAGTAGGCAGCTGTGAGATGTTAAATTGACTCATTAAGTGAAGACACCTTACTGCTCCTCTTTCCTGTGCCCTAAGCCATGCAGACCTGCTGCTGACCTCTGGGTAGTGCACACTTGTCATAATTCTGTAAGCCGCTTCAACTCACTAACACAGCAAAAAACTAGTCTGGCAAGAAGTTGGATAGTTTCCTGCCCTGTTAATAAGCTCAAAAAAGGGTTTAACAAGTAACACAGCTGGGATGATGCAGAGGACAGGAACACATTACCCCGAGGAAGACAGGAATGAAATCTCTCCCTTCCAGCAGCAAGGAATTAGACTGCCTCAGCTGGTCACAGAACCATGGCCTTAGATTAGCTATTTTTCATTGGAGGAGGAGATTTACTTGAATGCTTCAATTTTCCATAACAAGCATATGCGTTACTGCACATCAGCATCTCTGATAAACAATCTCCCATACAATGGCAAGGCCCCTTTGGAGCCATCAGTATTTTTTTAAACTCAGTAAGGATTCTTAATGTTCAGGCAAGAGTTACTGTTAAAGTCTGCATAGATCACATCCCATTTCCGATGATACTCCAACCAGAAACAGGAAAAGTAGGCAAGCTGAGTCTGCCCAAACAGATTAGTAGACAGCTTGGAGGAAGGGGGAAAGTCATGAGTTTCATCATTCTTGTGCTACATGGCCCACTAACAACATCCCATCCCATCTCACCAAGAGGACTGGAGAGCCACAGAGGTTAAAACAGACAAACAGTACCATTTAGAGATCCGGTCTGTGGATCTAAATCCTCAGGGCAGAGGAAAACTCAATATTATTACTGACATCATAATCAGTGCCAATTGTAAGAACTCAGCAAGAACATGTAAAAAATTAAGGTTGTCCAGGGAAGCTTAGTTTTACCCACTTACGTAAATATTAAGATGTAGCAATTATCTGATAACATATTGTTTCTCCTCACCAGGAACCAGACTACATTCAGTTGCTGACTACATGGAGAGACCTAGACATGAAGAGTGATTTAGGCTTCTCCACATGCCTATGTCTCACTTAGTACGTAAATGGCTGGCACGAGGTAGAGGAATGTAAGAGATGGCTAATTTCAGAAAGAGATTTTTGCAATAATACACCTGTTGAGGTTATCCTAAAATGTTTGGCTAGCCACATTACTTAAGGACCTCACTTCACATTTACAAAATGATAAATTCTCAGGATAAGGAGACAAACATTTTGTACATGTTATATGAGAAAAAAAAAAATAGAGAGACATCCGAGAAAGATGACCCCATAAGTGTCTCAGGTTGGTTACAAAAGACAGTAGGCAACCTGGTTTACTTGATTTAAAAAAAACCAAACCAATCTTTCTGCCATAATCTTAGCTTAAAACAGGAATAATTCAAACATAGCAATATTTTTCAGGGATGTTGGGAAAAACTACAAACTGCAGCTTAAAGGTCTTAGCCGGTACTTGAACAAAAAAAATTCCTTAGGAGGGTAGTGCAACACTGTAACAGGTCACCCAGGGAGGTGACAGATGCTCCATGCTTGGATGTTTTCAAGGCTTGTTTAAACAAAGGTAGAGCTGAGCTGATCTACTGTTGGCAACAGCCTTGCTTCAAGCATGAGGTTGGACTATGTGGCCTCCTGAGGTCACTTCCAAACACCATTTCTATGGTCCTATAAAAGAATGTCCACAGAACGTTTCAGTACTACAACAGAAACAGCACAGAAACAAGAGTGAAAAAATCCACAGCTATGTTAGGTGCAAGATTTGGCTGGTCTAAATGGAACAATATACTTAAAGAAGGGAAAAGACATTTACTGCAACTACACTTTCATTACCCGCTGATCAGTTTGGCTTATTACCTGCTCTACTGATTCATGACAGCAAATGGATAAAGTCAGTGCAAGGTATTTACCAAAAGCATACAGTTTAAATAGACTCTTATTCTGAAGAATCACGGACCAGTGTTTCATGCAATACAGAAGCCGAGAGATCACAAAGCGTGAGAGCCACTTTCAACAATAGGGAGGGAACTGATCATAAAAGTTACTGGTCTTGAACTTTCTCATTCAAATCTCAATGCACGGTCTGGCAGAATTTCCATCACAGCAGCAGCAAACAACTTCTAAAGCTCACCCAAAGGAGCAAAGAGTATTCTGAGTACAGACCCCCTACCAGCCGACACCCTTACAAATAAGTAATTTGGTTATGCAAACTTTGCTTGTCACTTATGTAGGTGTGAAAGTTAAGTTTAAGCTTCATGTGGGACTCTGGGGCCAGGAAGCCCCTACGCTTCAGATTCTTGCGGCCAGGAAGACACAGCACGGAAAAGCTGCCTTGATTTTATGTCTGCTTGCAGCCATCGGCTGCTCGCTCCTGCAAAGAATCACACACACACAGCCCGGCCACGACCTGTCAAGGCGATTCTTAACTTTCCGCAGCTTTCCAACGCGGACTTACACCGGCCCGAGAGATAAGCGGCCGCGGCTTCCTACTTCCGCAGCCTGACCGCAGCTCACGAGATGAGCCGATAGCCCTTTCCCCCTTCCCCGTCACCGCTTACAGCGGGAACCGAAACACGCTCAAAATCCCCGCAACAACAGTCCCGCGCCACCGGGGACGTTTGCTACGTTACAATGAAGCAGCGACAAACCCCCCCTGGGGGAATTAAAAAAAAAAACCCCAAAACCCCAACAAAAAACCCCAGCAAAACCCCAAACAACC